TTGAAAACCAATTTTAAAACTTTTTTTAATCAAATAGTGTTTTATTATAAACTTTACAACAAATACATTAATGTTTATAACAATTTCAAATTTGAGTGAATGCCATTTAATGGTAATAAAACTTTTCAGCACTTTTAGTGCTGTCTAAAATTTTATAGAGATGTAGTTCAAAATGTTGGGCTGAGCACAGATTGCTCCTCTCCCTCCATCCCTAAATCCTTTGAAATGAAGATGTAAAAGTAATAGGAAAATCCATAGCCTAACTAGAAAACAAAAGGGGATTCCTCAATGGACAAGAAACTAAATGTATCCCAGGAAGATAAGAGACAATATAGAATTTAAAAACAAAACCAGAAGCCAAAAATGCATCTAAGTAGAGATTGCTACAAAAGATGTGGTGTACTTCTAAAGGTGCTCCAAGCTGAGAAATGACAGATGCTAGAAGCAGGAGAGACTTCTGGGGAAAACAAATGTTTGATTATTTGGAGTATCACTGTAAGAATGGCCAGACAAATATACCTTCCACATAATTCCTGCCTCTTGAGTAAGTAGAAAAGGAATAGAGGTATCTGCCCAAAAGAAAAAAACAATGAGTGTGGGCACCTAAGTTACAAAAGCAAATGAGAAAATTTCTGGGGTGGTTGATGACACCCATGAGAATGGGGAAACTCCTGTCCAGAATACCTTCTGCTGGCATGTCTCATCCAGAACTTTGCCTCATCTCGTCTACATTTACTTTATAAAAGCTGAAGTATACCCTGCATAAAGATGCTCTTGGTACTCCCATAGATTTCATTTACCAGGCCAGCGAAGACATCATCCAGCTGCTGCTTGTAGGCTGCTAACTATACACACCTGAAAGTTACTAGGATCCTTGTGCTGCTGACAAGTTTAAGGACCCGTGACGCTAGGCAGATTTTGCCCCCTTCTACCCTTCCTCCAGAAAGCTTCTTCCAATGACTGACTGATGCGTCTAAGAGTTTAGCTTATTTGCCTCTGGCTATACAACCTCTGTGGTGCAGTTTATACTCCATATTTCCCTGCGCAATCATGAAAAGACCAGACTTCTCCAAAACCATGTATTTGTCTAGTTCAGTGGTTCCTGAACTTTGCTGCACATTGGAATCCCCTGGTGTTTTCTTTTTCTTTTTCTTTTGTTTTCTTTCTTTTCTTTTTTTTTTTTGCTGGAAAACCATTTTTGTCATGCATCTTCTGTAATCACAATTCTCTAACCCTCAGACTGTTTTTGAACTCATAAGAAGTTAAATTAGCAGTCAAAATGCATAGTATTCCCCCAAACCTTCCCTCTCTTTCACTTCATGTGCCATATTTTTTTTGTGATTTGTGTTTTTTTTTTAATTTTTATTTCAGGATATTATGAGGGCACAAACATTTTGATTACATTTTATGTCTTTGCTTCACTCAAGCGAGGATTAGAGGCATGCCCTTCCCCTCTACAATGCTCCCCGCGTCCATTAGTTGTGAGTTCACCCCCCCCAACCCCCTAATCCTTGGAGAATATTACTACCATGTGAGCACCATAGTGTTGATCAGTCAGTGCCAATTTGATGGCAAGTACATGTGGAGCCCATTCTTCCGATCTTGTGATACCACACTTCGGATAATGGGCTCAAGTTCAATCCAGGAAAATATAAGAGGTGCTAGATCACTGTCATTTCTTATAATTGAGTAATATTCCATTGTATACATATACCAAATTTTAATAATCCACTCATGAATTGACAGGCACTTGGGTTGTTTCCACATCCTTGCAATAGTGAATTGTGCTGCCATAAACATTCGGGTGCAGATGTCTTTATTATAGAATGTCTTTTGCTCTTTTGGGTAGATGCCTAATAGTGCTATTGCTGGATCGAATGGTATTTCTATTTTTAGCTCTTTGAGGTCTCTCCAAATTCTTTTCCATAGAGGTTGCACTAATTTGCAGTCCCACCAGCAGTGTAAGAGTGTTCCTGTCTCTCCACATCCTCGCCAGCATTTGTTGTTTTGGGATTTTTTGATAGAGGCCAGTCTCACTGGAGTTAGGTGATATCTCATTGTGGTTTTGATTTGCATTTCTCTAATGATTAGAGATGTTGAGCATTTTTTTATATGTTTGCTGGCCATTATTCTGTCTTCTTTTGAAAAGTTTCTGTTCATTTCCTTTGCCCATTATTGATGGGGTTGTTTGATTTTTTCTTGTTGATTTTTTTAAGTTCTAGATAGATTCTTCTTATCAGCCCTTTATCGGATGTGTAGAGAGCAAATATTTTCTCCCATTCTGTAGGCTGTCTATTCACTCTAATGATAGTTTCCTTGGCTGTGCAAAAACTTTTTAATTTGATCAGATCCCATTTATTTATTTTTGTTGCTGCTTTGATTGCTTTGGGGGTCTTCTTCAAAAATTCCTTGCCTAGGCCGATGTCTGAAAGAGTCTTCCCAACATCTTCTTCTAGAATTATTAAGGTTTCATGCCTTAGGTTTAAGTCTGTTATCCATCTTGAATTGATTTTTGTGAGAGGTGAGAGGTGGGGATCTAGTTTCAATCTTCTGCATGTAGCTATCCAGTTTTCCCAGAACCATTTATTGAAAAGAGATTATTTTCCCCACTGTATATTTTTGTCTGTTTTGACAAAGATTAGATTACCATACGGTTTCATCTCTGGATTCTCAGTCCTGTTCCAAAGGTCTATGTCTCTGTTCTTGTGCCAGTACCATGCTGTTTTAGTTACTATAGCCTGGTAGTACAGCTTGAAGTCTGGTAGACTGATACCTCCCAGTTTGTTCTTTTTACTTAAGATTGCTTTGGCTATAATGAGGTCTTCTCTGTTCCATACTATTTTTCTTTTTTTACTTAACAAATAATTCCCAACATAGCGTAAAACAACAAATAATTATTATCTCTTGACTTCTTTGGGTCAGGAATCTGAGTATGACGTAGCTGTATGCTTCTGACTCAAAATCTCTCATGAGGTGGGTGGAAGAAGATCTATTTCCAAGTTTACTCACATAGCTGTTGGCAGGCTTGAGTTTCTTCCCATAGGGGCTTCTCCACTGGCCTGCCACAGGACATGGATATGATCAAAGAGAATGTGAGAGAGAACATGCAAGATAGAAGCCACAGTCTTCTGTAACCTAATCTTGGAAGTGACATCTCATCAATTCTGTTGTATTCTGTTCATTAGAAGCAAGTCAGTAAGTCCAGCCTACATTTGAGCAGGGGGTTTTACACAAAAGTATAAATATCAGAAAGCAAGGATCACTGGAAGTGATCTTAGAGGTTGCCTGCCATGTACTTGGGGACCTTTAAAAATACTGATGCCTGGCTCCCATTCTGGGACATTCTGATTTAACTAATATGGAGTGTCACCTGAGTGCAGAGGAATCTTTTTAAATAATTGTGGTTAAAAACCATAATATGAAATTTACCCTTTTAACCATTAAGTGTACCGTTCAGTAGTGCTACCTATATTCACATATTTGTATAACAGATCTCTAGAACATTTTCATCTTGCAAAACTGAAACTCTATATACATGGAATAATAGTTCCCTTTTTCCACCTCTCCCCCGTCCCTGGCAGCTACCATTCTACTTTCTGTTTCTATGAACTTGACTACTGTAAATACTTCACATCAGGGAAATCATACAATATTTGTCTTTCTGTCTCTGGCTATTTCAATCAGTATAATGTCCTCGAGGTTTATCCATGTTGTATATATAACAGGATTCCTTCTTTTTTATGGCTAACTAATATTCCATTGTATGTTCATACCATATTTTCTTTATGCATTCAACTGTTGATGGACATTTGTGCTCCTTCTACCTGTTGGCTATTCTGACTAATGCTGTAATGAACATTAGTGTGCAAATATCTCTTCAAGATCTTGCTTTCAATTCTTTTGATACATATACCCTGAAGTAGGATTTCTTGATCATATGGTAATTCTACTTTTAGTTTTTAAGAAATCTCCAAACTGTTTTCCATACTGTCTACACCATTTTACATTCCCACCAGAAGTGCACAAGGGTTACAGTTTCTCCACATCCTCATCAACATTTATTATTTTGTTTTTTTGATAGCAACCATTCTAATGGGTATGTGGTGATATCTTATTGTGGTTTTGATTTGTGTTTTTCTAATGATTATAGATGTTGCACATCTTGGTCATTTGTATATCTTCTTTGCAGAAATGTCTATTCAAGTTCTTTGCCCATTTTTTATTTAGGGTGTTTGAAGGTATTTTGTTATTGAGTTTTAGGAATTCTTTATATATTTTAGATATTAACTGCTTATCAGATATATGGTTTTCATTCTTTTCTCCCATTCCAAGAATTGCCTGTTCACTCTGTTTCCTTTGCTGTTCAGAAGTTTTTAAGTTTAATGTAGTTTAATTTGACTATACTTGCTTTTGTTGCCTGTGCCTTTGGCATCATATTCCATAAATCATTGCCAAATTTAATGTCCCAAAGCTCTCTCTCATCTTCATTCATTTGCCTGTGGATATCCAGTTTTCCCACTACTGTTTACAGAAGAGACTATACTGTTTCCATTGTGTGGTTTTGGCACCCTTGTCAAAAATTATTTATTCATACATATTAGGATTTATTTCTGGGCTGTCTATTCTATTCCATTAGGTCTATGTATATATCCTGTACCTTCTAATACATGTTTATGTCATCCCATAAGTCCCTTAGGCTTTATTTATTTTTCTTCATTTTTTTTCTCCTCTGGCTTACTAATTTCAAATAATCTGTCTTCAAGTTCACTAATTCTTCTGTTTGCTCCAGTCTACTGTTGATCCCTCTAGTGAATCTTTCAATTTAGCTATTGTATTCTTCAGCTCCCAAGTTTCTGTATGGTTCTTCTTTATAGTTTCTCTTTTTTTGATATTCTCATTTTGTTCATGCAGCCTTCTCCTGCTTTTGTTTAGTTGTCTGTGTGTGTTCTTTTTGCTCAATGAATACCTTTATGATGATTATTTTGAATTCATTGTTGGATAATTCATACATTTCCATTTATTTTGGGTTGGTTTCTGGAGATTAATTTTGTTCTTTTGATTGAGCCATGAATCCCTTTTTCTTTGTATGCTTTTTATCTTTTTTTGAAATCTGGCCATTTTGAAAAACAGCTACCTCTACCAGTCTTTATAGACTGTCTTTGTGTAGAAGATTTTCACCAGTTGGCCCAGCTAGAACTTCTGGGAGCCTCTCAAAATTTTCTGGGGAAGCATTTTCTTTGCCTTATGTTTATCTCTCAGCTAAAGAGATTCAACTTCATCTACCCAGAAGTTCCCATGGTGTACCTCCATGGTACTGTAATCTCTTTGATGCTGTAATAGCCTGCAGGACTCACCTTTGTTCTCCGTGGGATTCAGGCATTCAAAGTATACTACTTCCTTTCTTATCAGTGCTCTTAGTCAGTGAGACAGAAACCAGTCCATTAGACATCCCTCAAAAAGCCAGAACATAGGTGACATGTTCCACCCTTTTCTTTCCCTCCCAAAGGAGAAACTGGGAACTGGGTTTTTTCTCCTATTCTCTCTGAGCTGTGCAGGGAGGTAAATGAGG